TTTTCAGTGCTAGCCCTAAAAATAGCTTCCCCTAGAATATTACTTAAGGACAAAAGGCCCATAACACTCAAACCTTACAGAACATCTTACCGTGATAGAGAAGAGATTGATAAACGGGTGGAACTATTGCTAAAATCGGGATTAATTGAAACATCTTCGTCCCTGTACGCTGCCCCAGTCACATTAGCTAAGAAAAGTGATGCGGGAAAAGCTAGACTATGTATGAATTATAGGAAGTTAAATGAGATTATTAAAATTAACAATGAACGTATTCCCAGAATAGATGAGCTGCTGGATAGACTTATAGGTGCGAAAATATTTTCTACTGTAGATATTCTGTCAGCCTATTGGCAGGTTCCTCTCCATTCTGAAGACAAAGAACTAACTGATTTTGTAACGAATTCTGGTCACTTCCAGTGGAATCGTTTACCATTTAGTTTAAAGTCTTTACCCCAAATTTTTCAGCCAGTTTTAAAAAATATCCTCAATAAATATAGATTCCTTTTCTCATCAATTATTTTAATGACTTGTTAATTTTTAGTCAGAACGTGGATGAATACCTAAAACATTTTACATTTAAGTAGAGACCTTCCATTGAATTATGTTCAATGGAAGGTCTCTACTTAAATGTTAAAAAATGTTAATTTGTTAGATCTAAGATTAATTACCGTGGATTCAACATCAAACCAGAAAGTTACTCCCCCTCATTATCAAATATAGAAACTACACAAAAGTTAAAATGTCCAACTAATATCAAACAATTACAGGGCTTTTTAGGGTCCATAAACCATTACCATCGATTTATTCCAAATTATGCAAATTTAAGAGCTTCTCTAAATAAACTCTTAAAGAAAAATCAAAATTGGACTTGGACGACTAAATGTCAGGAATCTTTTGAGAAATTAAAACGAGCACATATCTCCAGACCCATCTTAAACATGTTTTATCCCTTTGCTTTTTACACATCTTTATGCAGATGCTAGCATAGATGGTATAGGGAGTATTTTGAAACAGGAACACCCTGTTAAAGGATTACTTCCTATTGCTTATATCTCCAGGTCTTTACGTAAATATGAAAAAAGATACACCGTTAGTGAGAGAGAATGCTTTGCAATTGTAGCATCTATTGAAAAGTTTCACTTTTATCTTCATGATATCTATTTTACCATACACACTGATCATCAAGCTTTACATTGGCTGAAAAGTATAAAAAACCCATCTGGAAGGTTGTTTAGATGGTCTTTGAAACTGAGCATGTATCAGTATGACATTAAACATCAGAAGGGAAGCCAGAATATAGAAGCTGATTATTTATCCAGAGCCCCCTTGAGCCATTTTATTACCACTGAGGAAGTCCTTTCCAACCAGGATAACTCATTACTCACCTCACCCAAGTTCTTCCGAGATCATGAAGATGTAATCTGTATCAGAAAGAAGGGGTTTATAAAGAAAGTCATACCTCCATCGCTTCAGTACAAGGTGCTATCCAGGGCACATGCACACTATGGTCACCCAGGTATAACACGGATGCTGAAACTAATCAGTCCACGTTACTATTGGCCGAATGTCATCAACGATGTTGTAGAGTTTGTTAAATATTGTGATGTTTGTCAGAAAGCAAAGACATACAACCATAAAAAGTTTGGCTTGTTAGATGACTTACCTCATCAAAAACTCCATTTGACATGTTATCTATGGACACTGTTTCTGAAATGCAAAGATACGGATCTACTAAAGGCTACCTTCATGTCGTCATCGATCACTTTTCTAGGTTTGCTTGGTGTTTTCTTTCCAAATCTCCTTCTATAAACGCCTACATAGATTGTCTAGGCAAAATATTACAAACAGGCAGCCCAAAACGTCTACTAACTGATAGAGCACCTTCATTTACTTCCTCTAGATTCAGAAGATATTTAGAAAGGAATGGAATCAAACAACATCTAACAAGTGCTGGGCGATCACAGCACAACGGGATAGTTGAGAGACTAAACGCCACACTTGTCTCTAGACTAAAAATAAAATATTTAGAAAATCCAAAACGATCCTGGACTCAAATGTTACGTGGTGAAAAAATATAACCAAACACCCTATATTATAACAGGATTCCCATCAATGTTTTTGATGTACGGAGAAATCCCTGATTCACCTCACAACTTGAATTATCCTTCTCTCAGCGAAGCACGTAAGATTGCCACCGAAAGAACTGAAATAGCTCACGAATAAAACGGAGATAAATATAATAGTCAACATCAAACTCCAAACTTTAGGAGATCAAATGCTACTACAAACCTTCATCCATCCCGACCAAGGAAAACTTGCTCCAAAGTATCATGGACCTTTCACCATATTAAGGATAGTATCTCCTTGTAACGTAGAAATAGACAGACCTGTCCAATCATTAAATAAATTAACTGATATTGTAAATGTAGATAAAATTATACCGTATTATAATCCAACCAACTTTAGAGTTCAAGCCGATAAATTGTATAACACCCAGCCCAATCTCCCTGAGGCTCTATAATGTCGCCTTTTCAGGAGGGGNATCTCCTTGTAACGTAGAAATAGACAGACCTGTCCAATCATTAAATAAATTAACCGATATTGTAAATGTAGATAAAATTATACCGTATTATAATCCAACCAACTTTAGAGTTCAAGCCGATAAATTGTATAACACCCAGCCCAATCTCCCTGAGGCTCTATAATGTCGCCTTTTCAGGAGGGGGCATTTAACATATTTTAAATTTTTGTAAACTTTGTATGTATTCTTCTGTAATTTACTTTATTAATCTCGTCCCTTTTGGAATGAGGTTAACAACACCAATAAAATAACGGGAGTTCGAGTGAGGACCTGAAAGTGAATAAACGTGTTTTTATGGTCTCCAATTTTCTTTGTCTTGCTCACTCTACACTCGACCCCACGAGTACGACTGCAAAATAATAGGACATAAATATATATATATATATATATATATGTCGTATNATATTGTAGAATATATTTTCTGCTCTTTGGGAGCATTCTTTCTTACTTTAATCGTTGTTTCAGTAGATCCACAATACACCAACAGGATTGAGACTGACCGTGAGGCACACCAGTGGCCATGCTGTCTTCGTAACCTTTACACGAGTTCGTTCGTGGGTTCGCGCATCGTTCAGACAGGCTGTCCAGTCTTCTGGGTTTTTTCCATGTCTGTAACGCCTAAATAGGACCAGTTTCCCTTAAAACGACCTGCCGGAAGGTCAGGGCTGGATCATTGCATAGACAAATGAAACAAATGTCTAGGGTTCAGCCAAACTGTCTATTTTTAAAAGATTTGTAAATAAAATACTGTAGACCCCCTACAACACGGCAGATACGTTTAGTGTTATATGAATTCCGTGTTGTACGAGGCACTTAAATACATGAGCCAATCACAGCCCGGCACGTGTGCAGTTTAGTGACTACGGCTATTTGAAAGGTTTCCTTCCATAAAATTAACCGATTCTAGAATAATTTGACTCAACATTTCCAAAACACGTATAATTTTTTGGGAATAATCCATATAAACTACGCTATAAACTAAAAGTTGTAGGAATACTTAACGAGTGCGCACCGTTTGAAGACGCCATTGCTTAAGCTTGTTTTCGTCGCGGAGCAGCGCACCAAACGGCGGGCTCGTGTTTCCTATAAGTTATTCTTTCTGCAAAAAATTCGCTGAGCTTTCGAGACATCATTAATAGAAATATAATTTTTATGGCCGTTGAATAATAAATGTTTTTTAGTAGGTCCGTTGTACGTTTAAACTCAACGGTGTGTGCAATGTCCACTATTGGTCTAGATTTGACGAATCCTGTCAAGACACGAGTCGCCAGTGACAATCTATTACCGTGACAATCATTCTATTACCGTGTTATACAAGATTCTTTTGGCATGTTTTACGAATCCGTCTTATACAAACCCGTGTTTTAGGGGGTCTACTGTAGTTTACTTTTTGTTGGACAATTGTATATAATAAACAAATAAACAAAAATATATTGCTCTTTATATGATTATTGTGAATTCTAAAATTTAAAGAAAATGTGTTCTTATCTTTCTTCTTATTGAAAGTAAAACTCCCAATAATTTAGAATTTTTTCATAGCGATAAGAATAATATTAACTATATGTATTCTTAACATCCTGTAAAATATTGTGAAATAATTTTGCTTTTAGTTTTTATTAAGCAGCTGCAGTCCGTATGCGATTTAATATAAATAATATTAACAAGATTTATTAATTGAAAGAGCCAGGAGGTGGCCCGGTAAGAAGAAAAGGTCTAGGGCCCCAATGTTGGTTAATACGGCCGTGTGGAAGGCATCTCTCTAGGAAGATCGCCCAAGTGTTGCGTTGCCGTAAATTAAACAAACAAACTGACCGAAACCCTTTAGAAATTTTTTTCTAGAAGGCTTTTCTGGAAATTCGATTTCGCTCCCCGCTGAGCAGTAGGCTGATACTTAAATCAAGTTGGCATTCCACTATTGGTCATCCACTATTTGATAAATAATATCGTACGATATAGTGAGTAGTAAAAATTGATTTTTATGACTTTTATTTAAACATTACTAAATACAGAAATTATTGTAGATGTACTGTTCTTATAAATAATATATGTAATAAAATATACTTGTAATAAAAAATTTACAAATGGAATGAAATAATTTTATACAATATTATCCTCCCTGAGGCTCCATGATGTCGCCTTTTTAGGAGGGGGACATTTAACATATTTAAAATTTTGTAAATTTTGTATATATTTTTTGTATTTTACTTTGTTATTCTCGTCCCTTTTGGAATGAAGTTAACAGCACCAATAAAATAAGAGGATTTCGAGTGAGGACCCGAAAGTGAACGGACGTGTTATTTTATGGTCTCCAATTTTCTTTGTCTTGTTCAACCTACACTCGACCTTACTACTACGACTGCAAAATAATACGACATATATATTGTAGAATATATTTTCTGCTCTTTGGGAGCATTCTTTCTTACTTTAATCGTTGTTTCAGTAGATCCACAATACACCAACAGGATTGAGACTGACCGTGAGGCACACCAGTGGCCATGCTGTCTTCGTAACCTTTACACGAGTTCGTTCGTGGGTTCGCGCATCGTTCAGACAGGCTGTCCAGTCTTCTGGGTTTTTTCCATGTCTGTAACGCCTAAATAGGACCAGTTTCCCTTAAAACGANAAATAAGGGGATTTCGAGTGAGGACCCGAAAGTGAACGGACGTGTTATTTTATGGTCTCCAATTTTCTTTGTCTTGTTCAACCTACACTCGACCTTACGACTACGACTGCAAAATAATACGACATATATATTGTAAAATATATTTTCTGCTCTTTGGGAGCATTCTTTCTTACTTTAATCGTTGTTTCAGTAGATCCACAATACACCAACAGGATTGAGACTGACCGTGAAGCACACCAGTGGCCATGCTGTCTTCGTAACCTTTACACGAGTTCGTTCGTGGGTTCGCGCATCGTTCAGACAGGCTGGCCAGTCTTCTGGGTTTTTTCCATGTCTGTAACGCCAAAATAGGACCAGTTTCCCTTAAAACGACCTGCCGGAAGGTCAGGGCTGGATCATTGCATAGACAAATGAAACAAATGTCTAGGGTTCAGCCAAACTGTCTATTTTTAAAAGATTTGTAAATAAAATACTGTAGACCCCCTACAACACGGCAGATACGTTTAGTGTTATATGAATTCCGTGTTGTACGAGGCACTTAAATACATGAGCCAATCACAGCCCGGCACGTGTGCAGTTTAGTGACTACGGCTATTTGAAAGGTTTCCTTCCATAAAATTAACCGATTCTAGAATAATTTGACTCAACATTTCCAAAACACGTATAATTTTTTGGGAATAATCCATATAAACTACGCTATAAACTAAAAGTTGTAGGAATACTTAACGAGTGCGCACCGTTTGAAGACGCCATTGCTTAAGCTTGTTTTCGTCGCGGAGCAGCGCACCAAACGGCGGGCTCGTGTTTCCTATAAGTTATTCTTTCTGCAAAAAATTCGCTGAGCTTTCGAGACATCATTAATAGAAATATAATTTTTATGGCCGTTGAATAATAAATGTTTTTTAGTAGGTCCGTTGTACGTTTAAACTCAACGGTGTGTGCAATGTCCACTATTGGTCTAGATTTGACGAATCCTGTCAAGACACGAGTCGCCAGTGACAATCTATTACCGTGACAATCATTCTATTACCGTGTTATACAAGATTCTTTTGGCATGTTTTACGAATCCGTCTTATACAAACCCGTGTTTTAGGGGGTCTACTGTAGTTTACTTTTTGTTGGACAATTGTATATAATAAACAAATAAACAAAAATATATTGCTCTTTATATGATTATTGTGAATTCTAAAATTTAAAGAAAATGTGTTCTTATCTTTCTTCTTATTGAAAGTAAAACTCCCAATAATTTAGAATTTTTTCATAGCGATAAGAATAATATTAACTATATGTATTCTTAACATCCTGTAAAATATTGTGAAATAATTTTGCTTTTAGTTTTTATTAAGCAGCTGCAGTCCGTATGCGATTTAATATAAATAATATTAACAAGATTTATTAATTGAAAGAGCCAGGAGGTGGCCCGGTAAGAAGAAAAGGTCTAGGGCCCCAATGTTGGTTAATACGGCCGTGTGGAAGGCATCTCTCTAGGAAGATCGCCCAAGTGTTGCGTTGCCGTAAATTAAACAAACAAACTGACCGAAACCCTTTAGAAATTTTTTTCTAGAAGGCTTTTCTGGAAATTCGATTTCGCTCCCCGCTGAGCAGTAGGCTGATACTTAAATCAAGTTGGCATTCCACTATTGGTCATCCACTATTTGATAAATAATATCGTACGATATAGTGAGTAGTAAAAATTGATTTTTATGACTTTTATTTAAACATTACTAAATACAGAAATTATTGTAGATGTACTGTTCTTATAAATAATATATGTAATAAAATATACTTGTAATAAAAAATTTACAAATGGAATGAAATAATTTTATACAATATTATTTGTTACAAATCATCATAAAATCAACAAATATAGATATAAAACAGAAATAATTACAAGCCACATTTTCAAATGAATATAATTATTTTTTTACGCAAGGTCAGAATGTGTAATAATTAGTTTTTGCTTACAGTATGTATATTGTATAAATATTATGGATAATTTCACTGAGAAAAAAACTTAATATAATAATTATTAATATCAGTGTAAATTCGTTAGAAGTTGTTACTAGCAATAAGAATGTTTATTAGTCCTTATACATATAGACTATTGGATTCTACGCTAAACAAACCCTACTTAATTAATATGTAAAATTATGCAAACATTCTAAATGCATTGTTGCTTGGGTTATGTGTCAAACTGACTGAAGTTGAGTAGAACTGTGTTAATTATACATAATGTAGCAAGAATTTTTTATATTACTACTATATTTGATAAGTTATTTAAATATAATAATATAAAACTAAATAAATTATCATTTGTAATTTATAATATTTTATTTGCAGTGTATGATCATGTCTACTGTATAACGGTCTTACTGTAGAATATTATTACTATTCGGTAAGTAAATTCAACTTAGAACAAGACTACAGTATATAGTATAATAAGCAGAATTGTCTAGAGTGAATTCATAATCACAAATAAATTTATATATATATATAGTATAGTTATAGTTATATTATAGTTATATATATATATATAACTATAATCAAGCTATCATTTATAAGTTTCAACGAATTTCGACGTCAAGCAATATAAATTACAGCTTTTGGTTATTCTGAAAATAACACTGAAGAAAACGATAATTCAAATCAATTAGCAAAAGTTGCAGCCAGCAATCAAAGTTAAACTATCTCAATAATAATTTAATAAACTAAAAATTACATTACAGATCTAAACATATCTTCATTGCTCGCCATGTCCAATCACCACGAACAACTATTCTTCATTGCAGAGATGACCTTTCTTTGTAGGCTACTACATTGCACAAATATGTAAAACAGTCTAAAGTGTCCACAGGTGATAATTCCAACACAATTAAAAATATAACATTTCTTTGTAAAAAAGGGCTGACAGGAAATTACAATTTAATAAAGTAAAAATTACATTAGAGATACTAAACATATTTTTATTCCTCGCCGTGTCCAATCATCAGGAACAACTATTTTTCACTGCATATACTGTATGTCAATAACAATTATAAGACAAATTATTCTCGTAAAAGCAGATTATGGTCATGCACTGTATATAAATAAGAATGACTAATGACTAGAAAATTTATTTTGATTTTTTACAATAATTTAAAAATAAATAAAAAAGTTTGGGTCTTGCTTCGTTATATCAGTTAAATCGTATTTAGTCATAAAGCATATCTTGTATACTTCAAAATATTTTACTTAAATAGAGACTATAACTGCTAATATTATACCTGTAATTAACCAAGTGATATATTGCATCATATGTTCAGAAATGTACTCATAAAATGTAGTAGGTTTTAACTGTGTTTGAAAGTCGTAATTTTTACCAAGAATTTATTCTTTAAAAATCGTTTATTTAATATGACATCTTCACACTACGGGCTGCAATTTTTAAACTATTCGTGTATAATTATATTCATATACAGAAATTGGTGTATAATTTATCGAAGTCTCTGACCCAAATCTTTCTACATATAATCTTCGTTTTCATCTATCTAACTCAGTTTTCAAGATTAAGGACGACAGACAGACCGACAGCGGACTGACAACAGTGAGAATATGTAGGTCTACAATTTTAAAATTGCAGTCTAATTACTGTATTTTACATTATATAAGACGTAGCATTTGTCCAAAGCAAAGGCTCATGAAATTGTCGTGAGTGTCATCTGTTTATATGGTTAAAGCAAAGAAAAAAAGACAAAAAGTACAGTAAGACCCCGCTTAACGCTGCCTTGCTTTACGCTAATTCGATATAACGCGGTCTGCTTAAAGCCTAAAAAATGCTCAAAATTTGCGCCGATTTAAATTATCGCGGCATTTCATTGATTCGTATATAATACAATTATTTGCGAACACGAACCAATCAGCAAAAGGTGGCGAAAAGTATACTTTTTTTAAATCTATGTTTGTTTGGTGCAATTTTGGAAAAAAATATAACATCGTGGATGCCAAAGCGAATATCGACTTTGCTTAGCAAGAATTAATTGATAAATTCACGAACGAAGTCTGGAAGAAGTTATGGCTGAAGGTATCCAAGAATTCTGGATAGAACCAGAAGAGCTATTGCTGTATCGTTACGTTGATCAAACGCAACCTAATCGATAGAGTAGGACTAGGAGATATAGACGAGCAGGATATTGAGGAGTTACAGCAGGTTTCTGGTGAGAGCCTTACCAACGACCACCTTCAAGAATGGCAGAACATGGAATTCATGTGGAACTGAAAAACAGATTCTGAAACGAAGAACCCAAACAATTTCTCTACAGATTTTTGTAGTTAAAGTTCGGTAAGGTAACCGAATGTAGCGAATGATTCAGATTTTGAAAGGAGTGAAAAAGCAAAACGAGGCGTTTTGGATGCGATCTTCTGCTACCGACAATTGCTTAAGGAAAGAAAAAAGCGACAAATGAAACTTTACGACTTTATTGCAGAAGAACAAGAATTTCATAAAAGTCAGAACATTCATCACAAAAAATGAACTTTACATTTCTTTGTTCATATATTTATGCGTTATTTAGCATATATTATTATACAAATTAATATAAAAATAAGTTAATCCGTTCCAGGTGCACGTCCGTTAAGTGAAAAGTCCGTTATACGAAACGCATTTTCCCATAGAAATACATGTTAAAACGAATAATTCGTTTCGCAGCATAAAGTAACCGTACTGTACCATTAACAAAATGAAAATGGAGCAGTCACCAATTATGCCGGTAGTCAGCTGTTATGAGGAGGAGGTGGAGGAACACTTTCTTCACACATTCATACAGATACAGACTTTTTACACATTGCAGCAGGTCTCTTTTTATTGGTTTTTAATCGGAGTCAGATTCAGGAGAGGCTACTGGAACTTGCAGGGGCAACTCTTCTTGTTCCATATTTTGTTTTTTCTTTGCTGGCTTCTTGAAAAACATGTCCAAGGTGGTCTGTTTCTCTCTCTTCTTCAACACCTGTCGGAAATGACGGGCAAGGGTGTCATTGTAGAGATCATTGATCCTGTTGGCCTCAGCTCTGTTTGGATAATGAGTGTTGGTAAACTCCTGAACCTCTCCCCATTTGACAAGGAAATTTTTGTCAACTTTCACTCCTGATTATTTTTTGCTTTGTTTCAATTGAAATCACCTTTCCGTTTTTTTAGAAGCTATGATTTGCACAACACTTGAATAAATATAAATACCCTGCACTGAGGTGATGTACAGTATGTAATAAACAAGGGAGCAAGCCGAATCCCAACGGGAGCTCTGTACTTCAGATATATTAATAATATATTCTAATAATACTAATTTATTCTAAAAATAGTAGATTGTTATTGGCAATGGCGAAAGAGTAGAAACATCGTTCGCAACTTGTTCTCAGAAATGTTCGCCTCACGTAACTGTCGAACGAAAAGTCCGTTGTTCGCACCGTCCGTTATTCGAGGCGTACGTTATACGAGGCACCACTGTATGTTATTTTTGGTCGCGTGTTCCCTATCCCTATTTACTCTATGTTAAAATTACTTCGTTTAACGCTGTTTCGCTTAGCGCTTTGTTGTCTAGGAACGCATCACCGCATTAAGCGGGGTCTCACTGTAACTGAATGATTAGGAGATAGCACAGGTTTCTCTTCGTACTTCTATCCAAGAAAACTTGATGAAAAACAATTAGTAAATGTATGTAGTTGTGTAAAATCTGTATATATAATTGTTTGTGAAATGCCTTTCGGCCATTAGTAATGTAATAAATCTCATTTGAAGTTTTTCAATGTAAACTATGTCTATAATTATTAAATGGTTTGCCTACTTAATTTTATATTTAGGACACTTCCAGATTTCTGAATGAATTCTGTAATACAGTATTTTCAGAATTTTTCTTTGCACGAAATGCATGAGTAAGTAGATTAAGATTTTTCAACTTAAAATTGAACTTGGTACTTTAAAATAAATACTATTTTTGTTCTTTCCATTAGATTTAAATGCTGCTACTCATTTTAGGTCATAATTTATCTATCTATCTATATATATATATATATAGATAGATAGATAGATATAGATAAATTATGACCTAAAATGAGTAGCAGCATTTAAATCTAATGGAAAGAACAAAAATAGTATTTATTTTAAAGTACCAAGTTCAATTTTAAGTTGAAAAATCTTAATCTACTTACTCATGCATTTCGTGCAAAGAAAAATTCTGAAAATACTGTATTACAGAATTCATTCAGAAATCTGGAAGTGTCCTAAATATAAAATTAAGTAGGCAAACCATTTAATAATTATAGACATAGTTTACATTGAAAAACTTCAAATGAGATTTATTACATTACTAATGGCCGAAAGGCATTTCACAAACAATTATATATACAGATTTTACACAACTACATACATTTACTAATTGTTTTTCATCAAGTTTTCTTGGATAGAAGTACGAAGAGAAACCTGTGCTATCTCCTAATCATTCAGTTACAGTGAGACCCCGCTTAATGCGGTGATGCGTTCCTAGATAACAAAGCGCTAAGCGAAACAGCGTTAAACGAAGTAATTTTAACATAGAGTAAATAGGGATAGGGAACACGCGACCAAAAATAACATACAGTGGTGCCTCNCCCAGCGAAGCGGGTCCTTGCAGCTAGATTCTAGATTACTTAGAAAAACAGTCTTATATATATATATATATATATATAAAAGTATATTACATACAAATAAAAACCCAGCGAAGCGGGTCCTTGCAGCTAGTTACCTATAAAAAATATATATAACTTAGATCACTTGTCTTGCTGTTATCTCCGAATTGTGACTTTTCAGTAGTGTGATTTCATACAAGTATATGAATGTAGAAAGACCGTGTTAGAAGCAGTATATGATGAATTTTTGTTCTTATAGTCATATAAATGTCTATGCTAAAAGTATTCCAAACACGAAATAGTGTTCGAAGTATTTGCGGTAGCTGTGTAAATATTTGGAACAGTAGTCGTAAAATCACTACTTTCTTGAAATAGTAGTGATTTTTAGAACCGCTGTTCTAGATCTTTACCACTGTTCCATAGTAAACATTTGCATTATATAGAATAAATATCAATCTATTATGTTAGAAAGTTCATAAAACTGAAGAGATTCACTTACACTTTCATACCTCAATTTAGTGTAATGTGATTCTCGGAAAAACTATATAGACACAAAAATCGCTTAAATAAGAAGTTTGCTTAAAATATTCAAAAATTTTACATTTTAACTAGCAGGTGAGCCCGACGTTGCTCGGGCAAAAGTAACGATAACTTAGATAAAGATTATTACGCTACAGTCAACCTTACCCGTTTTCACAGAATGCAAGAATTGGGTCCCCTTGTTTCCAGACTAATTAGAGAATTTTTAGATGGGTCTAAAAATATGTTCAATTTCCCTCAAAAACGAAAAAACTGCATCTGTGTATCGCACGTCGCTTTCTCTTAACAATTCCATTGTTACGTAATATTTCCATTGTTGACACTTCCATTGTTACTTAAAACTTTTATTGTTACTTAACACTTCCATTGTTGATGGAAGTGTTAAGCCTTAATCCTGTCC